GACAGGACATTTAAACACCCGAAGCTTTAGAGATGTAAAAATTCGCATTGGAAAGCTCAAAAGACGATTTGGCAAGCAAATGCCTGTTTTCTATAAATTCTCTGTTTAACCCTTTCATAAGCACCCATCCTCATCTGTCAAGTGGATTTTTTAAATTGTTCGGCGGTTAGATACCGTGGGCTTCACGACGAGACTCGTCGAAGGCATTACGAAACAAATTATATCCACCGTGCCTGGTCTGCTGTTGGAGAACATGCAGACTGCTGTGGTGCCATAACTTTACGTCTCAGCAAGGATCCTCAAAATAACGCAAATCAAGTCAGGAAAATTCTACTCCAGCCACGACTTGCAATGCCTTCTTCAAATAATTCCGCTCGACCTACTTAATTTATGTTAGTACCAATTAATGTCCACACATTTTCACGGACCCACGTACGACATACGCTGGCTAGCTCAGACTATCGTACTTCTAATGGATTGCTACCGACCTGTTTTGATATGATGACCCCGATTTAACGCAACAACAATAGTGGCCTGTTAGATTATAAACTGCCGAAAACTATTTTATGCGAAAACGCCTGTCCAGCTCCTTTTACACGTTTCTGTGACAGCGACAACCATCCGGTCAGCCGAACCCATATTTGCGACATTTATGAGTGCAAAGACCCAAGCCGTTGATATTGAGACGGTCGATTCCGCTGGTTTCAGACTTCCGTCTCACTCCGTCACCAGATTCGGCTATATCACCTAGAAGGGCACCGACGTCTTCGGTCCCCCATTTTAGATCTCTCCAACCTGGACTTAAGTATGCCTTATGGTGAGGGATTACGCGAATTGAGTTTAGAAAGAATCCTGACTGCGTACTGGGGATTATTGAGGCCGGGCACTTAATGTGCGAGGAAAGGTAGAGAAACTCTAAATACATATTACCCCAGTCTTCGTTGGGACTTAAACGAGATGTTGGTAGTTTGTGAACCTACACAACGTAATCAACCAGAAAATTGAGGAAGAGCTTCTAAAAGAACGCATTAACCAGCCTACGCAACAGTCAGCCATCTTGTAAACCAGACAATGTCAACAAAAGCAGTGCCAGACCTGAACGTCTTCTACGACAGGGCGCACGGGAAGTCAGTGGAACGGAAATGAAGCAACTTACCGGGCTTACAGGTAAGATGACCATCAACACAGACTGCTTTGGGATTGCTGGGATCATTTTTGCAGTAAATCTGACAAAATTTGCCACCGTAACCATGCAGGCAGGTGACTTTCACTGAAATTAGGAAGTCCGGACGGCCACTTGCCTTGCTCCTTAGAGTGACACTTTCATTAACCTTCGTCTCCAAAAGATAACTGTCGTACGGGTCCACAGCGGTTGGCGAATTGTATATATTATGGGTGTACATTATCATCAGTAGCTGTAAAATAATGAAAAGCAAATATCATGTGGTGAAAATACACTGAAAACCCGTAATTTAAAGGTAATTAAAGCCGGAAAGGTAGAGCGTCGTGTATGTCTGCAACTTAAGCTTTCTCGGTTACAACCACTTTTGACGTTTTCGGAATTTTCCGCCTTTCTACGAATGCTGATATTTCTAAAAACATCGTTTTATTTCCAATATTTCTTCTATGATTTTAGTTTGCTTAAAGTTATTCGTTATTATTTCAAAGCTTTGGTCCATTCATCGATGCCGGTTTGGAAGTGATTGGCCATCTTTCGTAAATTTCGGTACCCTTGATGAGACAGGTCACGTATTGTATGACATGTGCATAAAAGAAGTCACATCCTGGAGGAAGGCCACGAAGTTAACTTCGTGAACACGCGGAGAGTGGCGCAGGCCAGCAACAAGACAGGGCGAGTACTGTTGGAGGCCTGGGTGTCTGACACCACCTCTATCAACAGACACGCTATCACACGCTCCGTTCCCGCGGCCAAGGGACGAGACCCAATCGCCAGCCAAGGGTTCATGCAGTCAGCCGGCCATGAGACGACGTGGGACTCAGTTATCGCGAACACCACCCCCTGCACTCCTATCTCCCCTCTTCATGGCTTGACTACAAAAACCGCTCATTTGATGCCGCATTCTCGCAGTCTTTGATGCTGACCTCATGTACGAGACCGAAAGCTCGGATTAATACGCGTAATGTCCCGGAGATCGTGTGTAAATCTTCTTTACAAGAAGGCGCGCGCCACGGATAGCGGCGCAATCTCCAAGGCATCCACAGTGACCACTGGGGTGAAGCGGGTTTGTGTCCTCGCTCTAACCCTCTTCAGCCTCATGTTCTTTGTTATGCAGATAGGCGCCTACCGTGATGAGCGCCTTGGGATACGCATCGCCTACAGAACTTACAGGCATCTCAACAACAGGCTCATGAAAGCCATAACATAATTATCTACGACTACAGTGCTCGACCTGCTCTTCGCCGAAGTTTGTACGCTCAACATCACGACCAAAGAAGACAGGAGAGGGTAGTTAACTTTCCCTTGATATTTACGTCGGGTTTCGTACAAAAGAAATATGAGATTTTCTGAAGGCCAGCACCCTCTCCCAGGTGCTTACACCACAAATTCCTATGTTAAGTGTTTGCCGAACACAATAAATACCCCAGGTTCACGCTCAATAAAAGGATCACCTTACCCCTTGATATCTGTTACAGGCCAGTACGTCCTCGAATTGCCGCGGACCGTTAGATGACCAGAGGCGCATTAGATGCTCTGACGATGATTCCGGATATTTGCTAAAATAAGAGAAGAGGTGGAAATTGAGTGATCGGAAGGACTTAAAAGCATAGAACCAGGTGAATCAAAAGAGACTTCCAAACAATACTTAGACTGGTATATTGTTTCAGTCCAAAATTCTGCCTATATCAAGCGCCGCCGTGCGGATGCTGGTTGGGCTCGAGAGAGAGAGTCCATAAGGCACAACGGAACGAGTGAGTTCCGTAAAGAACGACCGGTGAGCGCCCCCTACCCTTGTATATTCCCGATCGAAAACCGACAGGGCAACGGGCTCGTGGCCCGGTGGGAAGAGGCGTGGACTTCTAAACCAACAGGTCGCGAGTTCGAGCCTCGGGTGCGCCACACTTCGGGGTTGGGTATGACTGGCTGACGACGGCTGGGAAGCCAGAAATGGCCATTCCAGTCTCCCTTGTCTTCTTTGGTAATATCATTCTGCCTATATCATGAGCCGCTGTGCGGCTGCTGGTTGGGCTCGAGAGAGAGTCCATAAGGCACAACGGAACGAGTGAGTTCCGTACAGAACGATCGTGAGCGTCCTCTACCAAAATGAATGCGTCTAGGCAACGAAGAGCCTCTACAGCCCCTGCTTAATTGCGCCATTCCTTCACCCAACTTCCCCCTCCAATTCGGATGACGCAGTTGGAACCGTTTCGTCGACTGTCTGACAGGATTCCATGTGGACATCGATTGGCCGGTTGACGTTAAAGTTGTCGTGCTGAAAATCATCACTGACAGTGAAGGCGGTCTACACGGAAGTGGCTGATTTCATAGTTGGGAAGTTATTTGTGGTGGCAGGACGGATCGTAACTGACACCCAGCTCCCACCTGTGCCTTTCCGATGCTATACTTTGTCTAGCCTTGGTAACAATCGGTAGAGGGCACACAAAAAGTGCTGCCGGCCAAAGCAGCAATCTCATCGAAACTGTCCTAAGCTATGCAGCCACTGACTGCGCCGCACGCTGACGACTGCGGTAGCCTCTTGATCTCTGGAAGTAATGGTAAAAATTGATAATCCAAGTGTTCGGTCAACGGCGATCGTATTGCAATTGTCCGTAGGTAAGCTACTATAGAATACTCCGCATTGGGACTACTGTGGTCGCTTGTCAGCAGAAAAGGTTTATAGTAAGTTTGTTTAACGTAGGGTGGGTCTACGGCGATCGTTTCGCAACTGTCCAAAGGGTATGGTGCCACAGATTGAGCCCCATACCTACAACTGCGGTCATTCCTCACCTAAGGAAGAAATGGTCATAATGGATAAGCCAAAGGGCCGGTCCGCAGCGATCGTATCGCAAGTGTTTAAACGTATGCTACCATAGATTAAGCCGCATATCGACTACTGCGCTCGCTCTTTAGCTGTGGAAGCTAATGTCAAGGTTAGTAAACATAGGATGGGTCTAAAACGATCATTCTCAAACTATTCTCCGCCTATTGCCGTCGTTCGTGACCTAATCATTCATATCTGAAGGATGGCAAACCACTGGTCGGTATACAGCGATCGTTTCTCAACTCTCCTAAGGTATTCAAGGGTAGATTTAGCCGCAACCCCACTACTGCTGTCACTCTTCAGCCGTGTAAGTCTAGGTCAAGGTTGACTAACCATGGCTCGGTCTGCAGCGGTCGCATCTCAACTGTTGGAGACTATGCTAAGCTAAGTGAGGCAACATGTGCACCGCAGATCAGATCAAATTGAGGTCGGATGAAACAACAAATATTCAGGACCATAACCTACTCAAATAGGTATAGCAAATATTATTTCTAGGCAACGGATATTTGGGTGTCCTCTCCCGATCGTTACCAAACAATCTAACAAAACCAATAACCGTCCCACCCAACAGACTGCTAGACAGACTCTGCTCACTCTGGCAGCCTGAAATGTTCGTTTTCTTTTAAATAACCTGCGAGTAACCGAACAGAAAGGACGACGACACCAGTCAATCTAGAACTGGCGCGCTACAATTTGGATATCTCCGCAATTAGCGAGATTCGTTCCCCCGAAAAAAGTCAACTGGAGGAAACGGATGCAGGCTACATATTCTTCTGGAGCGAACGCCCAAGGGAACAGCGACGCGATGCCAGCGTCGCGTTTATCATCCCGAACAACATCGTGGGCGATTGTTTTGTCTGATGCAAGGCATCAAAGACCGCCTCATAATCCTACGCCTGCCACTTCCGGGAGCCAAATTCTCCGCCGCCGTTATCAGTGACCAGCTCTGACGAGGTGACGCACAGGTTCAACGAAGACCTGCGCGCCGTCCTAACGACTTTATCGAAGACGGACAAACTGGTCGTCCTTGGTGACGCCAGTGGTCACATCGGCACAGACCGTGCCGTCTGGAAGTGTGTGCTCTGTTGCAGTAGCATCGGCGGGTGCAACAGTAATGATCTTCGCCTCCTGTACGCCTTTGCTGAAGACAGTCTTCTCCTGATCAGCGCCTTCCTGCGCCTTCCGATGCGGAGGAAGGCGATGTGAATGCACCATCGCTCACTCCATTGGTATCGTCTGGACGACATCTTGATTCGCAAGCAAGACTAGTTTGGCCTGGTCGTAACTAAGGCGATGTGCAGGACTGACTGTTGCACATATCACGGCCTTGTCGTATCCAGGGTGCGATTTCCATCGCAACGTCGCAACATACCATGAGGCAAGTGACCAAAGGTTAGGCTTGCTCACCCCTTCAATTTCATCAACCATTCGGCCGAACACCTGGAATGCCTACGGGATTCAGATGACAACCTCACCGCGGAGACACACTGGCGTCAACTGCGGAACGTCATCTGCAGCAGTACCCTGCACGTCCTCGGTCGTGCACGCCGTCAACACCAGGACTGGTTGGATGACGACGAAAAAATTCACAATCTACTCGCCGAGAATAAAAGAGTGCTCAAGGCGCAGCTCGACTACCGGACCGGCGCTCAGGGGGGGTGGTCTTCTTCAGATGTCCCCGACCAGTGCAGCAGCGATCGTGGAGATGTAGGACACCAGGATGAACAGCAAGGGGCGGGAAATCCAGAGATATGCAGATTTCAAGAGAACGAAATGAGTTTTTGCACTAATCATTTCGGCCTACGGTCCCCGCACTAGAGGAATTGCGCAGCTGTTCAGCTCCGACGGAGTTATCGCAGACTTTAAAGAACTGGACCGAGCACTTCAGAACCGTTCTCAATAGCCCATCCAAAATCTTCAACGCCGCCATCGACTGGCTCATTTAACGAACAACGACCAGCATCTTCCGCCTTTCCTTCCAGAAACACAGCCATGAACCACCTGTCCAACAGGAAAGCACCGGGATCAAACGCGATCTCGACTGAAGTCCGCAGGCATGGCGCCGCCTCGGCTGGTGGACAAACAACGATGTTTCAGGCCACGTGGTGCCAAGGACACAGAGAATGGCGAACCAGTGCCTGAAGTACCCACATACAACCGTCACATCCGTCTTTACTGTCCGCACTGTCCACGCAGATTCCCTCATTGCATGGGCTTATTCTGTCATATGCGTACTTATGACAACGAAACTCACCCAACTGTCGACATGCCAAACGCACCTTATACACCTGAAAACTTCCCCATCTCCAGGTTTATTAATACTCCATCCGCCAGTCCCGTCACTACTAGCAGTATCACCACCGCGACCGATTTAACTTCTCCCAACTTATTCTTCCCATACTGCCATTGCGACCGCACATCACACATACGTCTAGTCGGGCACTAGCAGGTTCATCACACAGAGACTATTTAACCGCTGCCTGAAACCTCAACGGCCCGGCTCGGACAACGGACTAATGCCTGAGAGAGGGAGAGAACAGAGAGTGAGCTGGACGCTATCAGTACACATTCCTCATTATAAACTAACTGTCGCGCTTGAATCAATCACAATGCGCCAGTAGCCCTGACTTGGAAGGCTGCTAACTGACGGGATAACTCGGTCATCCGCACAGAACTGAGAGACGGACTACAATGACGCCTTTGCTACTTGACCTTTATGACAGTCCCACTCCGTTTGGGTCCGAACTGCCTTCGTCCTTTTCGCATTGTGTGAAATCCTGATCTTTTGTGTGTGTACCAGAGGGTATGGTGGCAGACCCAGGCGCTGCTTCATGCCGAGCCAGCCACCTCTGCCCTATCGCGCCTCCGGTCTTCTTGCCTGCTTATTGCCTGCGGATTCAGGCAGGGGGGTGGGGGAGGAGGAGGGGGGAGTGCAGTAGATGCAGCGTTAGTCTACTGCACAATAAACTTATTCATACACAAGGCACCGGTTCTGCACCGACTCTGCAGTGGGGCGCACAATGGGCACAGTCAATTACGACGGTCCAAGTGTCATTCATCAGAAGGTCAGTATTGCAGCTGACGTCCTGGGCAGGTTCACTACACGCACATTTCGGTGCCATTAGCTCCCATCGAATCCAGTCAGACTGAGTGGACTCTGCGGGGCGGTGGTTCAGTGGGTGTCATAGGGCGGTTAGGTGGTGGTGGATGGAAAGGCCGGCCTCCCCGCACACCCCTGCAAGGTGTCCAGGCACGCCCAAATATATTATCGTCACATGACCCATGGCAACCAGTTATCAGAACCGAGAGTGCTTATTTCATGACCAGTCCTCACTGCGAATGCATCTGTGGACTGACGACAGCCTCCTTCTCTTTGTTCGTTTGTTGTTTGTTGTCCGTTCTGTTAGCACTGAATTTCTGCAAGTATGCTACCAGTAGCACTACTTTTTGCTTTTTAATTTCTTTAAAAATTAACTGCGAATGGAGTGGATCAGTATATTGTAGGTTTAAAGGCTCAGAATGGGATATTTTTGCATGAATATTTGGACCGAAGTCCACCAACCACAGCGGATATCCGCGTAATGTTCAGTAATTGCTGACAGCGGTTGCCATATTGTTAACTTTAAAAGCTACATTCGTAAATGCAGAAACATGAAGTTTTATGAACGGCCATTTCACGGTATTAGAAATATCACCATTAGAAACTTTTTGGAAACCGAATTATACTCCTTCGATTATAAAATCGAAAGAAGACGTAATTTTCGGCTAGATCGCAGTTGGTAGCCAGGAATGGGGAAGCTGACGGCGACCCTAACCCTAATCCTAACCATAACCCTAATCTTAGCCTTAAGCGTTAACCGTTAATATTAAGGACAACCTTAACCCTAACCGAAATCGCAATCGGAACCGTAGCCCTTATACATAGCCGTAACTTATAAACCTAACCGTAATACTGAAACCTAATCGTACGTCCAAACCCTAACCGTAACCCGAAAACCTAAGTCTAAAGGCATAACCCTAACTCGAAAATCGGAAACCATTAACCGATACCCTAATCTTAACTTTAACCATAAAACTGATGTCAAATGGGTCAGGTGTGATTATGGAGCCCCACAAAATAGCCCCAGTAAACAAACCCCCAGCCACCTGTTATACGGGGCCTGGCTACCAACTGCGATCTAGCCTAGTTCTTGTATGCAGTCGGAAATAAGTTCGTTCGAAAGAAGGCACCCTGAGGTTACTGGATCATTATAGAATTATGCTGAACGGTGATCAGTTTTACGACAATATTTAATTGATCTTTTCGAAACGAAAACGCATTTCAAAATTTCGGCTGACATTCCATGAGTTCGCCCACCTAATGTATATATATGATGGCATGGAGGAAAGACAGAGTCTGGGGGTAGATTCATACAGAACTGTTTCGGGCTTGTTTGTCTCCATTAAGTCAACCATAGCCTTGACCACCAACTAGGACTGGAGATACAAACATGCGCTCACACACCTGACGCAGCTGGTCAACCACCAATGGCTCATAAGCACTTCATCGAATCAAAGTTCATCAGCGCCCCGTCACCTTCCATTCTTTATCGCTGCAGATTGGGTATTTGTTCACACAGACTCTGACGTCTACCCTCTGCTATCATAGCCTGACCGACTTCGACCTGATAGACGGTCAGGAATTGTTTACCGCGTCAACTGTCTAGAGTGTCCGGCCAATTATTGTGGCATGACCGACAAACGATTAAGGTCGCGCATGCATGAGCATTCTCTAGCTGTAAAGCGAAAAGATGTACGATCGCATGTTGCCATGCATAGCCTCGAAAATGCCCATCAATTCGGCTTCGACAAGGCAGAAGTAATCGGTCGAGCTGAAAGCAAAATGGCGAGAGAGATAATCGAAGCCTGGAAATCCAACGCCAACTCGATCAACCGTAGGATCGACCTACCGGCGCCATATGAGGCCGTCAGACACCACTTGAGCAGGAAGGGAGGACCAATGGGAAGAGAGAAAAATGGACCTATCAGTACTGAGTAAGAAAGACCTATTTAAACCTTGTATTCCCACTTTTAATCTATCTCCGATGATGCGCTCAAGTATGAGTGTGAAACGTCAGATGAATAAATCATCCTCCCCAGAGATCTCTTTACCTTCTTCCATCTCAACACCTGGGGTCGGCAT